AGAATGGACCAAAAATTGCCTGACAAAAACTAAATCACTAATGGTAGGATTTAAGTACACTGATTCGTTAATAGGGAAAATACTAATAGTAATGAAAGCTATTGAATTTAACATTGAATTCCATTTATGAATTTTTGTCGTAATCTTTCCTTCCATAGCTATCGACTTGGTGTAAATGGCAAACCCTTCCAAACGCGACTCAGCTACTTAGACGTTAAAGTCTGGTAATTGGACTAGTGACAAGAATCTCGTCTCACCTCTAAATTCCTTTTAGACTAGTGCGTATTCTAAATATAAATATAATTCTCAAAAACGTTTGTTCAAAATATCTTAGTAATATGCCCATTGAATCATGCGATTAATGTTCAATGATTTCTATTAATTAATTTTTTGTAGTGCAATCTTCAATCATTTAAGACCTGGTGGAATATTTTAAAATTTTAGAAAATAGCAACAATATTTCTGAATCAAAGAAAAAACAACGTTTTCTTAACTGCTTATTTTCAGCGGATTAAATACTAATTTTTAACTATATGCATTTCTGCATATTATTTTCATTATGATTTTCAAGAATATTAGACTTTCTTTTGATTAAGTACGGCACTTCAGTTGCCGTTAAATATTCAGAACGTAATTTAAAACAATTTGTTCCACAATTCAGTCGCCTTTTTTTTTTAACTAAATACGAACCTCGTTTTACGACGTTTTAAGTTAAATTCCGCATTTTGTTCTGGATTTAGCTTTGAAAAAGGCATCCGGAAAGAGAAAAAATCAAAATAATGTACAGTTCCGTTCTTAATAAAGTGAAAAATATTTCCCTATTTTAGATTTAAAATAGCCATTATTAGAAACGCGATGTGAACACGCAGATTTTCTAACCCTCATAATTTTCAAACTTTCTAGGCCGTTAACGTCAAAAGAAATTATAGCTCCCCTCTTCAAGGTGATTGCTACCAGAGTACAAAAAGGAAATATTCTTCTTCCTCTTTTTTTCCATATCTTTGTTCAGTAATTATCCTTAATGTCACATGAAGCGAGTTTATACCCATTTTGTTAGTCACGCATTTTAATTTTCTGCCTCTTATACCGCAAATAACCGGCTCATGTGGGAATTTATTTTATAACTGCAAAACTGTTAGATATTTTTCGAATCTGGACATTTTTCTCGTATAAATTTCGTTCTCATAAAAATGTTGTCGTGTTTTAAAACAAAATGGATGAGTGATTTTTATTTGTATTTACTTATATTGTTATTAGTTTTAACGTCTGTAAAACACACATGAGGAAAAGTACGCATTGCTTAATAATGCGTTTGCAAATGACTTAGAGTTTTTAAATTGAACTTCAGGCTTGAAATAAGTAATGTAAATTTAGTTCATTCTTTTGCTTTAATCCTAAATTGATAATTTCTAATTTCATTTCTCAATAAACAGTTTATCACAGAGTAAGTTATTTTTCTTACCTATATATTCATGTATATATTTTCATGCTGTAAACCAGAGTTTTCAATGACGTTTCTTTTTTATATCATTTTATAATACAAAAGAATTTTGAAGGAATGTGATGGTAAATATAGCTTTGCAATACGTATAGTATGATTCAAAATCCCCCCTGGAGTTTGGAATGTACATAATATAATAAATATAAGAATTACAGAAAAAATATTTTTGCGCTCACAAATAAAAACCATTATATAACTTTTGGCTTAGAATCAGCTGACTGTTTTAGCTTAAAAGAGATGTTTGTCCAAAATGGAATATAAGCATCGAAACGATATTTTACGTCGAAACACTGAAATGCGTTGCATTACCTTTCAAAATACTGTCAGCAAATATTATCGCCCTGCATTATACTATTTAAAGATATGAAATAATGCAGAATCTGCATGAATGTATGTATGATTCTCGCATTGCAAAAAGTAACGGTACCCAGATCCATCAAATTTTGAATGACATAGTCCTCTACCTCAGATGGGCACATGGAAGCCTGAAATTTGAATTTCGAATTTGTTTTATTATCTATTTCATATTTTGTAAACATTTAACGAATTTTTGATTAACAAACTCAATGATTTGAAAGCGAGCTGTTGGAACACTGTACGAAATAAAACGTTTTTATCTCCAGCCATAAAAAATGAACAGAATATATCTGAAAGTTGGAGCGAAACAACATTGTCAGACCTTCGAACACAAAATGCAATTCGAAACCTTTTCCTCCCAGGGCAAATCTGAACTGTGTATACTACATTATTTGAAAATGTGTTTGCTAAAGAGCTACGTTTGGTCATCTGTTTCACGTATGTATGCAGTATTATACAACGTAGAGCAAAATAGTGCTTGGAGCTCATTTTTCCTTTAAGTCAACAAATTATAGAATGTTGTGCTCCTGTGCAATAAATTGGAGTTGTACGTTTATATTTCTTGAAAATTTCTTTCTTGGGAGAAATTCGTTATTACATTTTGCGCAAGCAGATCAAGTAACGCAATAACAGAAATTTTGAAAATACAAATATATGCATGCTGAGATACATAAATCACAATGTAGGGTTTATTTTAATTCCCTAATAGTTATTTTTATTTCATGTCTAAAGTTTATTTTAATTAGCATATTGGTGCTTCTGCGAAAATTAGTCCTATACTCTTATATTCTTCTTCAGCCTTCTTCACTAGAGTATGCAAATGGAAGGCATTGTAAAAAGAATAAAAGTCTAAGGACGGAGAATGAGGACTGGCATTTCTAGATGGTCCTAAAGCGTCTTCTTTGGGTTGTTTTCGAAGTGAAATGTATTTTTCTTCGAGTTGGGGAGTTTCTCTTTGCTGTCGGAACTAAGTGATGTCTCATAAAATTTACTGAGCTAGATGCTAGAATAAAAATTAACTTGTCAATCGTATAAAATTTGAATTTACATTGATTATCAAGAGAAAAGAAAGTGATGTTAACTCTCGTCGAGCGTACAGAAAAAAACTAAACTATGACTGCTCAATGTCGACATTTAAGTCGTCGACTGCACATAGAGAACTATTTTTATTACTATTAAATGATCTCTTACAGATTGTAAACGTAGCATTATAAACGTAAACATTAATCAGCTGAGCTTATCTGTAGTGGTTTAAAATTGAAATGTCAATTAATTTTCATTTTCGTACATACATATGTGCATTTTTAAACATAATTTTTTTATGTCGGCAATGTGTTTTGCAATCTGAACCGCTGTCGAGTTTACAGTGCTTTTTTAATTGTTCAAAATGATAAAAAAGACAACCAAAACACTTAAAAACACAAGTTGATTATTGAAGTTCTTTTTACTAAATAAGAAACTATGTATTATTATTTTTGGAATAATATAGTCCATGCAATACACATTTCTTTCAAATCTCCCTTTTTTTTTCTACATCATTGTAATGCCCATAACCCGAGAAGGAGAAGGAAAAGCCTAGCCAGCGAAATAATTAGTCCGACGGAGCAGGTGGTTCGTTGGAACGGAAGGAGAAAGGACGAACAAAAAGACGAGGGGGGCGAAGAGGACTTGGCACCCTGGTTGTCGGACGGGACGGTCGGAGTTTTTTTGGGGGGGGGCGGATGAGAATCGCCATTTTCTTTCGTCATGGAGAGATTTTTTTTTCTCATCCGGCGGAGACCATGCCGGACTTACCTATTCATGCTTGTACATATAATGTATAATAATCAAGAATTGTTTACTTATTAAAGTTTATTGTTAAACAAACAAAAAATGGGTGTCATCTATGCGTCGATCGACGGTGACATGTGTGAAGCAACCGAACCCTACGCTACGGTTTAACACAACGATGCTTATCTGTCTCGGCACGACTACCACAGTCAACTACATTGGTGGCAGCTTTGCGATCAAATGCTTCATCACAGGGGTGAGTACTGATTTTTTTTTAGTTCTCTGTTCGATCGGATGCAGGGTATTTTATTTTTTTGTTTGGGTACCGCTAAAAGGTGCAAGATTGTAAAGCAAATTGTAGGAGAATATTTTATCTGAAGTTAAATTACTTTTCTTTAAGTTTAAAATTATTCTGCGTCAGGATACAAAGTTTAGGGGTATCATAACACAGGTCAATTGAAATTCTGGTTTTGGAGCTCCGGAAATGGTGGAAGCTCGGTAGAATTTAAGTGTTATATATATATTTTTATGTATGTAAACTTTTGTATGTGTTTTTGTCGTATGAATAATTTAGGGAACTGTGTATTTAGTGAAGAGTAATTTTCAGTGATATTTTTTCTTACTGCAAATACTATTTACGGTTTTATTACTGTTTCATATCAAATGTAAAGTTATTCTGAGGTAAAGTACTAAAATTTGTTAAAAGGATTGTTGTAACATTTAACTGACAGATGTCATTTTTTGTATCAACTCATAAAGTATGTAAAAGCTCAGATAATTGATTAGAGTGCATATATGCTTGTATATTTAAATTTTAGTAGGTAAAATAATTTTTTTAGAATAACTGGTTGATTTTTGTATATCTCTTTTACAAAAATAAGTGGCTATATTTATACTTTATGACTTATGTTATAGTAATTATCAGTGTAGGTTTTGATTTTATTGCTTGGCACATTGTTTTAATATTTCATTATGGCATATTTAATGAAAGGAAAGAAGGCCGATCTTGTACTTCTGGCCGATGAATTAGGGGAAGAGGTCTCGGATGATTTAAAAATGATCGAATTAAAAAATATCATTCTGGGAAGTAAAAATTACGAAGAGGATGTAGTTAAAGAGCTGTTAACTTCGATCATTTCCGAGAGGAAAGAGAAAGAAAATATAGAGCTAGCCGAGGGGAGATTACGCATAGAAAGCGAACGGATAGCATTAGAAAGATTAAGACTCGAAGCGGAAAACCGGAGTCTAAATTCGGAAGGTCCGGTGGATTCGACAATGAGTCCCAGAGTTAAAAGTTTGGATGAAATTGTGAAAACTATAAAATTGCTGACGGTGAGGGTTCCGCAGGGTCAGAAGGCTGGAATTATTTTTTTAACAGTTTAGAAAAGGCCCTCGCGAGTGAGAAAGTAGCGGATAATTTAAAATCTAAGGTGTTAATGTGTTTGTTAGGAGACAAAGCTGCGCATCTTTTAACTTATTTAGAGGAAGAACAGTACGAGGATTACGAGGCTTTGAAAACCATAGTGCTTCGGGAATATGAACCTTCACCTAAGACTTGTTTGGAAAATTTTAAGCGGGCTAAAAGGAACCCGGAGGAAAATTTTACTCAGTTTGCTACAAGATTAAATTCTATGTGGAGTTATTACTGCAAATTGAGGGGAGCGACGGATCTGGAAACTGTCAATCAGTTAGTAGTTGCGGACAGATTAATGGAAACGCTCGATACGGAAACTGCTACTCATATTGGTATTAAGCAAGGTGAAAATTGGTGGAAACCAAAGGAGTTAGCGAGAGAATGCGATATGTTTTTTTCGGCAACCGGGAAATCTTACGCTAAGGGTTATAGGAAAGAGAATGATATTAAAGAGGGATTATCACCAGAGAGGATTAAAGTAAAGCCAAAAGAAAGCTATAAACTTGGTCCAGAGAAGCAGGCTTCAACAGTGTCAAATAGAGGCAAAATAAACTCTCCTCAGAGAAAAATTTCGCATGTTACAAATGCGGGTCAAGAGAACATTTTAAGCGTGATTGCCCTCAAAATAAAAATACGAAGGACAAATTTGCGAAAGTGAACAGAGCAAGTGCAGTAGATAGTGGAGAGGTTATCGAAACTCAAGAGAACAGAGTTATTGTTGCCAAAGCGGGACATTTTGGAAAGGAAATTTCTAGACAATCAATCGAAGAGGAGTTATGCAAATTGGATAGAGTGCAGGTTAGTGTAAACGGTCGGATAAGTAACGGATTAATTCGATTCTGGCAGTGAGATAACGGTTGTAAAGGAAAGTATAATTCCAAATTTTAGATCTGGAAGCGGATCGGCAATTTATTTGAAGGGGATTTTTGGACCGCCGAGAAGGTGTGAGTTAGTAAAATTACCTTTAGCACTAATTAATGGAAAGGGTACAAATGTGCATCAGGAGATACTTTGCGCGGTGGCGAAATCTTTAGTTGAAGATGTTTTATTACCCCCACAGGTGTTATATATGTTACGGGGACGAAAACACTTGTAAAGATCGACAGTTCAACGGAGAAGGAAGTAGCAGTGGTTTGTTCTACGAATCGAAGGATTCCTCGAACGTGGGAGAGGCAGAAACACCTCAGGGTAAGTTAGAAACGGACATTCAAAGCCACGTAGCTGCTATCCCAGATGTCGGAGCGCCCTTAGTGGAGAAAACAACTAATTTATCTCAGACAGCGGAGTTTTCGTCAGCACAAAAAGAATGCACTGACTTATCTAAGATGTGGGAAAGAGCGAAAACGGATAAAGGAAATTATTTTTGTGAGGGACGGTTTTCTTTTTCATCGGGACAAGATTTTGGGACAGAGTGCAGAGCAATTAGTTGTTCCTAAATGCAGAAGGAATGAAATTCTAGAGCTCGCGCATGCATCAGTGTTTGGAGGACACATGGGAATAAAAAAAACATTAGAGAGGATTCGTTATTCCTTTTATTGGGAAAACGTGAAAAGAGATGTCCAGGAATTTTGCGAATCATGTGAAAGTTGTCAATTAACAAAGCCAGTGAAAGTGAAGGACAGAGCGCCAATTACTCCAGTAGCAAGACCAGGGTTACCTTTTCAGGTTGTCAATGTAGATTTAATCGGACCTATAGATCCTCCTAGTTCGAAGGGGCATAAATATATTTTGTGCTTGGTGGACCAGCATACTAGATGGGCCGAGGCAGTGCCATTAACCAGTCTGACGGCAAAAACTACCTGCGACGCGTTGCTGCAGATTTTCTCCAGGACCGGAATTCCTAATGTGATTGCGTCAGATAATGGTACCAATTTTAACGCAGACTTAACACGGGAATTTGAGAAAAGATTAGGATCCAGTCCGAGATTTTCGACACCCATGTACCCTCAGTCAAATGGTTTAGTCGAAAGGTTTAATCAGACTTTGAAACGTATGTTGCATCATATTATTAGAGAGGAAGGTCGAGCTTGGCATGTCCAAATACCTTACGCATTATGGGCATATACAGGGAAATACCTAACAGTACTACAGGGGTATCACCTTTCCAACTATTGTATGGTAGACCCCCACAAGGACCGTTATCTATTTTAAAATCTACATGGTTAGGGGAGCATGACGAATTAAAATTCGATCTGAAGCCAATTCATAAATATTTGCAAGATTTGAAGGAGCGGTTGAAACGTGCTGCTGAGCAAGCTGATCTTACGAGTGAAATCCAACAAGGTAGGATGGCGCAGTATTATAATTTGCGCTCTTCGAGTAAAACTTTTGAAATAGGAGATAGGGTTGTAGTCCTCATACCTGATTCAAGCAACAGGTTATATGCTCGTTGGCAGGGTCCTGCAGTGATAAAGGAAAGGAAAAAACCCACACTCTTTTTTAGTAGAATTGGCTGACGGGAGCATTAAGCATGTACATCAAAATAAAATAAGGAAATTCATTGTGCGGTCAAATGCAATCAATGTAATGTTTGACGGGGAAGAGTTCGGGGAGGTAGACAATATTCCCTCTACTTTAGACCAGGATAGTAGTTTTTGAAAGCAGGTTAAATAATCTAAGTACCACTAATCTTAACAACAAGCAGATTAATGATCTAAAACTACTGTTGAGAAAGTACAAGAACTTATTTTTGAGACATGTTCAACCTGCTAGAGTAGGACAACATAAGATTGATCTTATGCCTGGAGCAGACAGAAAAAAAACCTCATTGTTATGGCATTCCAATGGCATATCGCAAAGAGGTGGACAAACAAGTCAAGGAACTTCTAGAACTGGGTCTCATTGAACCGTCGGAAGCGGACATAGCCCATCCGGTTGTGTGTGTGGTCAAGAAAGACGCGACAATCAGGATGTGCGTTGATTTCAGGGCATTGAATTCGATCACTAAAGTGCCGGCATTTCCTATGAAGGATATGCATGAATTAATATATGTGGCTGGGCATTCAAAATGGCTATCAAGTTTAGATATGCGCAGAGGATACTGGCAAATCGGAATGGAGGAATCAAGTAAACCACTGACAGCGTTTTCAACTCACAACGGGACGTTTCAGTGGAACGTCATGCCGTTTGGTTTGGCAGGAGCGTCAGGTACCTTTCAAAGAGAAATGAATAAGGTTCTTTTCCGGTACAGCGATTTCGCCCAAGCATATATAGACGATATTATAATTTTTTCAAACACGTTTGAAGAACACCTGAAGCATCTAGAAACGATCCTTAAGATACTGGAACAGTTAAAATTTTCTGTCAGGCTCAGTAAGTGTGATTTTGCAGCTAAGGAAATAGATTACCTAGGACATAAGATAGGAAACGGCAAACACGGCCCAGATCCTAGTAAGATTGCAGCAATTAAAGTGCTAGAAAGGCCCACGAATGAAAAGGGACTCCGCCGTTCGGTATTGGGTCTCATGGGATTTTATCGCACATATATCCCGAACTAGCCGAGATAGCTGGACCTTTGACGGATTTGACGAAAAAGAATGCGCCGAATAATGTACGGTGGGGTCAAGTTGAAGACGCGGCTTTCCAGAAGTTGAAAGATATGCTGTGTCAGGTGACGTCTCTGTCCACGCCTGACTTTAATTTACCATTTCAGGTGCATTCGGATGCATCAGATGTCGCCGTCGGTTGTTGTCTGACTCAGAGAGATACACAAGGGCATTTTAAACCAATAGCTTTTGCATCCCAAAAATTTTCTGGGGCTCAGAAGAATTGGGCAGCCATAGAAAAAGAGGCCTGGGCAGTGTTATTCGGGCTCAAGAAATTTGATAAGTGGATTTTCGGGGGGACGGTGGAAATCATTACGGACCATAATCCTTTGAAATATCTCACTGAAATTACACCTAGGAGTCCAAAATTAACGCGTTGGGCTCTCTCTTTGCAAAGATGGAATTTAAAAATCACTTATCGTCCAGGAGTACAACATCGAGCCGCAGATGCATTGTCACGATTGGTGTGAATAATAGTAATATTTTTTTAAAGAAAGGAACCACAGATATTCAGAAGTTCTTAATTCTTGTCCTTAAAATACTTTTCGAGATAACTTGTTTAAATGATGTTGGTAAAACAAAAAAAAATGTTTGTCTAATGTAGAATGTATTTATGCAGTTAGGTTTAGTGTAATATTTGTATTTGTTAAACGAAAAAAACATGGTAAGAAGACTTTTGTATCCTGATCAGAGTTTGGTTTTTAAGTACCCCCTGCACCTGGTCGGGTAGGGGGCTGAAAAATTTCAGTATCCATGTCAGCCATCAGGAACTTTGACATTTTGTATGAAATCAAGTGTGTCAACTAATAAACCTCTGAACTCTGATTCTGACGAATTCGGAATTGCTTAGGATGAACGCTGGGTTTTGTATCTAATGAACTCTACATTATTTCTAATGAACGCTGAACGGTTCGGTTGAACCTGTTGTGAAAATTAGCCTTTAAGAGGCAAATCTTCATCTTGGTGGGGGCGTGTAATGCCCATAACCCGAGAAGGAGAAGGAAAAGCCTAGCCAGCGAAATAATTAGTCCGACGGAGCAGGTGGTTCGTTGGAACGGAAGGAGAAAGGACGAACAAAAAGACGAGGGGGGCGAAGAGGACTTAGGCACCCTGGTTGTCGGACGGGACGGTCGGAGTTTTTTTTTGGGGGGGGGGATGAGAATCGCCATTTTCTTTCGTCATGGAGAGATTTTTTTTTTCTCATCCGGCGGAGACCATGCCGGACTTACCTATTCATGCTTGTACATATAATGTATAATAATCAAGAATTGTTTACTTATTAAAGTTTATTGTTAAACAAACAAAAAATGGGTGTCATCTATGCGTCGATCGACGGTGACATGTGTGAAGCAACTGAACCCTACGCTACGGTTTAACACAACGATGCTTATCTGTCTCGGCACGACTACCACAGTCAACTACAATCATTTTTTTCTTGGCCTTTCTGAATCGTATTAACCAAGATGCTGATATTATTCCTAAAACTAGGAATAACAACTAAAGCAGCAATAAATAATAACTAAAGTAGGCAATTCAGGCCTTAAAACTCATTCATTTCATAAAGTATTACAACTAATATTAAAGCAGTTCACAGAATGCAGATTCTAAAGTTACATCATAAAAATAAGGCTTACATGCGTTATTATATCCTATTGATAAACGTATTCGAATATTAAGATTCAAAACTTTATAAAAATAAACCATTATTTGTTTACAAAATAAAAGTCTTAAAACATAAGTTTATTTTAAATTGCTTTAGAAATTTTTGACATCTACAGCTTCAAAACAAAGAATAATTAAATTAATGATTCTGATATTTTCCCGCATTTTCAGATACTGGATGAGATGCATTCCAATGACTTCAGAGATCACGTTAATTTATATATAGCTAATGTAAGCAAATAAAGTCATCATTCTTCTTCTCCTCTTGCGGAATGTATTTCATTAGCATTTTTGCTAGTTGTCAATTCGTATAAACATTGTGAATAGACATGCTGGAAGATCAAAGTAATTAAATAAATATTTGAAACTCCAAGCAGTAACAGTTTTTGCAAGTGTTTCAATCGATATATAAACAATATAGCGAACATAGAAAAAGTATGGCAACATTTAACACTCTGTAAAGATGAACATTGAGCAAGTGACTACGTGCATGGCACACATTTTCGTCTTTTCTGATGTAAAAGGTAGTAAAATTCTGACGAAATTTCGTCTCTCAAGCTTGAACAACTGATTGTTTTTACTTCATGGAAAATGAATTTAACCCTATATGTAAACTAATTACTTGTTGTTATCAATGTGGAGTGCGTGAAAACATGGGAATGTTCATACAGAATGTTACTTGGATTAAGCCTAAATTTAAGTTTATGAAAGAAGAAAGCAATGTTATTTAAAATTTTTATTTATTAATTTAAAAAGCGATGTTATTTAATACATACCCAATTGCATTAATACTACCGAGCTAAAATTTTGAATTTAATTATTAATAAAACCAGTTCAGGCTTTTTTGAAAATTGCATACTATCCCACTTGTATTTTGCTTTATTGAAATTTATAATTAAAAACAAGGTGCTATTAATTCATGTTTGTAGTTATTGCATATACCATTTGCTTCGTTCTTAGTTCGTTGAATGATCAGTAGTATTTTTACAGCTGTTAATGCAATGATCAGAGTTTCACAAAACTTTGAACCTAATGTACATTAAAACGTGTATGGTTCAATGGTTCCATTTCTATAATGTTTCAATGGTTACATGTTTCTATAAATGAATGCAATCATAGAATTAATCAATCGCATGAATATTTTAAAATCTGCAAGCTGTTGTCGCGTTTTGGCCATAAGATTCTTAATTTATGGTTTAAATTTACATCAGTCTCTTGTTTATCAACGTAATAAATTGAGCAATTTAAAAACATTATATAGATTTCTCATTATTATTGTTATCTGTATTTAATATTTTGGATTGTACTACACATAACGTATTAAAAGAAATGAATTCCAAGCAACATTTTTTAAATAATTTTTGCAGGTATTGCTAATAAATTATTTATAAATATCGTTTACACTGATATTCAAAGTACCTTAACTGATAAATTTTATAACTTGTACTATCAATGCAATTAATGAAATAACTTTCTAATGTCACATTTACGTATTTCGGTTATGTAAAAATTCTTTGCTTTCGTATAGGAAGGATTTCATAGTATTATTCTATAACAATTTATTTACTGGACAAATAAATATTTAAACAATTTACATTGAATCGCAGTGAAAGAAGCAGTAATTAATAAGGATGAAGAAACGTATTCTGGGATTTTAATCCATTTAACACTTCATGACAAAAATTCCTTGCTGTTTATGAACGTGTAATGGTTAAATAAAAGCCGAATCTTAGACAATTATTCAAGATTTTTCTTTCAACCGAGTAAATATAACGAAAGTTCATTATATTATGAACAAAACTTTGTTAATGACAGTCTTTAATAAAAAATTTTATGTAAAATTTAAAAAAATTGCCATAAAGCCCCTTTCTCTTAACACTTATTTTCGCCTTAAAAATTCCAGCTATAATGTAATTTATTCTTAAAACTTTTATTTAAAACTTTCTTTCTTTTCCCCATGAAACTTATTACTTATTTACATTTACATAAATGACATCTTTACTTTACTTTTACTTCTTAGATTTTTTCTACATTTCGTCCTTTTTTATTTTATATTCTCCATATTACTGAAAGATTTCTATGAGCATACAGAAATTAAATATTCCTTCTTTATTTCTGAGTGTGGATAGCTGTACTTCAGATTTAAAAATTTAGCTGTTAATAAATCTGAAAAAAAAAAAAAAAAAAAAAAAAAAAAAAAAAAAACACGTGAATTTTTATTATACGGTCTCTTCTTATATAGATGTCATTAAAAATAATATTAAAGACATAACACTACAGAGAGCAAAAAAGCGGGGAAACACTGGTAATTGAACGACGGATTTCATTTGATATTCTCTCTCGGAATCACTGCGCTACAAGCATATATT